AAACGTCGGCATATGTAAAAATAAATATTATCATTTATTTTTGCCTTCCTTTTTGACTGACCACCCCAACTATTCTTCTCTTCATTATCCACGATAGTCAACCAATTACCAATTATAAATTAGTGAATAATTTGATGAAATTTTCCTTTGTGAAATCCCAACATTATCCACTCTCAATTAGTGTGACAACTTTTAACCTATCCATGGCAGGCAATGAAAATTCCGTAATTTCGTTTTAATAAACTTTACAATGAAAAATAACAGCTTAATAACTAATAGTCCTACGATCGATAAACATTTATAGGTTAAATATTCGGATATACTTTCAAACTTCTGCAGGCATAGATGAGCCTTTCAATTGACAGAATGACTAACTCCAATTTCAACATTCCTTATTATTAATCTTAGTGATGTTTCTAGTGGTAAAATTTATACCTTTATTCACAGTTCTATATTTCAACACTGCAATTACCTATTCTGCAATAAACTTACTCACAGTCTGTATAGATATAACTTTTCCAACTAGAAATATCACTAAAATGACCACTCTTAAATATTGAAATTGGAGTTAGTCATTCTGCCAACTGAAAAGTTCAGAGAATGAAGTTGTTTAGTTCATAAAAGCAGATGGAGTAACTAGATTTTTATTGTCATCCGTCGATATAATAAATTGATTTTTTGTAATTTTAATAGTCTTAATGAATTGTTATGTTGTAAGTTTTAAGCTATAGCTCCGTTAAAAGTATACTTGAAAACTTTAATAATTGCTAAAACATTGACAGCAAATAATTTCTATTCAAAGTATAACGGTAAGTGAATGTTGTGTGTTGCAAGCACCAGATTTTTTTAACTTCTTACAAGTGACGAGCGTAACATAATAAGATTGGCCGACCCACACAACGGGCATCCCTAGGCGATTCTCCCATTTGATCCGCCTTAAGTCCGGCACTAAATTTGTAGGCATTGAAAGGGCGATGGTTATAGGTTATTTGGTAAAATATTGTATGTAGGAATTACCAAAATGGGTCACTTATTAAGTTGATCAAATTCTTTCCACTACTTTCTCCTACGAAAACGCAATTTTCTCAGGTACATACATAAAAAAACTGTTTGATTTTTTCAAGTTTCAAGTAAATTTAGGATTTGTAAAAACATTATCTGTATCAATTTCAAAACATGTTTTTTACTACTACGTGGCTTACCGATACACAAATATATATTTATTTATCAGCCTATAAATATATAGTCTGTGGGCCAGACCCCCTTACCGTGCACCCCCCCCCACATCCCTATAAATTGCATATCGTTGTGTTCCTTGTAACAATTTATTAAAAAAAAGCCAATGTTCCCACAAAAAAAAGTGAACGCACTGCCCCAAAATGGCGTCCAAAGATGGCGGATTGACGACTTTGACTTTAGTTAGTTTTTTGGTCACTGAGAATCAGCATTAAGCTTAATTTCCTCATAGTTGGTCTTTTATTAAAGCTGAATAGTTATAGAATAATAAAACATGAAGAAATATTAAAAAATAATTGGCTAAGGCTATGAAAAACACCAGTAAAGTCAATTTTTTTAACAAAAAAATTTTCAAGTTACAAATCAAGCGTCGTTTGTAATTAAACGGCCTACAATAACGCAAAACGTGCTGAAATAAACCATCTGGAGAATATATTTCTCTTTCTGAAACGCTGATTATTTTTTACAAATGTTTGAGTAGTTCCGTAAAAAATGCACTTATGCGGCAGAAAAGCGGTACTGGCGTGGGTGCCTACAGGCCTCTACCACACCATTCAGTGCCCATAAATGGCTTAGTTATAGTGATATAATAACATTTTTGGTACATTATATTGGTTTTATTAACGAACAAATATTAATGCAATAATTTAATAGTAAAAAAAAAAATTTAAATTAAAAAAAAAATTTATTATTATTTTTTTAAATTTTAACCTCCTTTATTCTATACGTAGGTCGTTTAAGAATACCTCAATTGTAAAAATGGTATAATTATAATAATAAAACTTAATTAAAAAATATTTTGCTAAATATCTTGATTTTTTTTTATTTAACGTTTGCAATTTAACACTGTGTTTTGAATATTTACTGATTCTTAGAAGTAATTAAAATTTTTATATACTTCCCAGGAAATGAGTCATATTCATACCTTTTTTATAAACTAAAATAATATATACCTAATCTGAACTATATATAATGAATAGCTACCGGGTTGTTTAGTAAAACTCATATATCACTAATTAAAAAATTAATTTTTATTTCCTTTATTTTGTGCAGAAGTTGGACTATATCATAAATAAATAGGAAATTTTAATATTGAATGAATTATTCTCTATGCACAAAGAAAGATATAAAGGGTGACCCTATAAGTTCTTCTATAAACCAAAACTGATTGTTTGGATTTGATCTCAAAATGAGGAAAAACGTGAACTTAAACGAGAAAATTGGAAAAATACATTAAGCGAACGAGAAAGGAAGTGCCAAAACCTCGGAATAGATAAAAAGGACCAGTTATATCCATTATATAGCTAAATGAATGTATAGTAGATAGATGAACAGAATATTTCAAGATGCTGCTAAAACGGGATCAATTGCAGTATGGATGATATTAAGTGGACGATGTAGGTTTATTATGGTGAAAACCACTTTATTTTCGATTGCTGAAGGTGCACATCGGGACTATATTAACTTTGAAGCAGGATATAGAGAGGTATATCGAGAAAGTTATAGCTCATAGCTTTCCTTCTGTTTAGTGGATTTTCAAAAGATTTTTTAAGGGATCTAAAAGGAAAACGAGTTTTTCTGAAAGACAGTTAGATATTAGCATAATCCAAAGTGTGAGGCACTGAGCAGATAGAGAGCTATTTTTCTTTTTATGTGGACTTCTCTATAACCTGCCTTAAAGTGAAGACAGTCCCAATTTTCAACTTCTCTTCCAATGTGCAACTTGAGTTTCTCAATCCATATCACTCTGGCAATCGACAATATTTCTTATTCCAGCTTCTACGATTCTTGTGTATAATTTGTTTGGTACACTAAACAGGAATGGGTCTTGATGGGTATTACATTTCCTAGTACCTCCTTTCTTGTAAAGGTAAAAACCACAGTCCTTTCATATTATTTTCTAATATGCTTGTTGCCTATGTACGCGCAAAACTGTCAAAGCAGTTCGGTTTCGCCCTTTCCATCTTTCTTTGTGCAGAGAGAATAATACATTCAATATTAAAATTTCCTATTTTTTTATGATATGGTACAAATTCCGAACAATTCAAGAATAACGAGAAGAATAACGAGCTACAACTAATATAAGATACCTTAAAAAATCTTTTGAAAATCCACTAAACAGAAGGAAAGCTATGAGCTATAACTTTCTCGATGTACATCTCTATATTCATCTTCAAAGTTAATATAGTCCCGATGTGCACCTTCAGCAATCGAAAATAAAGTGGTTTTCACCATAATAAACCTACATCGTCAACTTAATATCATCCATACTGCAATTGATCCCGTTTTAGCAGCATCTTGAAATATTCTGTTCATCTATCTACTATACATTCATTTAGCTATATAATGGATATAACTGGTCCTTTTTATCTATTCCGAGGTTTTGGCACTTCCTTTCTCGTTCGCTTAATGTATTTTTCCAATTTTCTCGTTTAAGTTCACGTTTTTCCTCATTTTGAGATCAAATCCAAACAATCAGTTTTGGTTTATAGAAGAACTTATAGGGTCACCCTTTATATCTTTCTTTGTGCATAGAGAATAATTCATTCAATATTAAAATTTCCTATTTATTTATGATATAGTCCAACTTCTGCACAAAATAAAGGAAATAAAAATTAATTTTTTAATTAGTGATATATGAGTTTTACTAAACAACCCGGTAGCTATTCATTATATATAGTTCAGATTAGGTATATATTATTTTAGTTTATAAAAAAGGTATGAATATGACTCATTTCCTGGGAAGTATATAAAAATTTTAATTACTTCTAAGAATCAGTAAATATTCAAAACACAGTGTTAAATTGCAAACGTTAAATAAAAAAAAAATCAAGATATTTAGCAAAATATTTTTTAATTAAGTTTTATTATTATAATTATACCATTTTTACAATTGAGGTATTCTTAAACGACCTACGTATAGAATAAAGGAGGTTAAAATTTAAAAAAATAATAATAAATTTTTTTTTTAATTTAAATTTTTTTTTTTACTATTAAATTATTGCATTAATATTTGTTCGTTAATAAAACCAATATAATGTACCAAAAATGTTATTATATCACTATAACTAAGCCATTTATGGGCACTGAATGGTGTGGTAGAGGCCTGTAGGCACCCACGCCAGTACCGCTTTTCTGCCGCATAAGTGCATTTTTTACGGAACTACTCAAACATTTGTAAAAAATAATCAGCGTTTCAGAAAGAGAAATATATTCTCCAGATGGTTTATTTCAGCACGTTTTGCGTTATTGTAGGCCGTTTAATTACAAACGACGCTTGATTTGTAACTTGAAAATTTTTTTGTTAAAAAAATTGACTTTACTGGTGTTTTTCATAGCCTTAGCCAATTATTTTTTAATATTTCTTCATGTTTTATTATTCTATAACTATTCAGCTTTAATAAAAGACCAACTATGAGGAAATTAAGCTTAATGCTGATTCTCAGTGACCAAAAAACTAACTAAAGTCAAAGTCGTCAATCCGCCATCTTTGGACGCCATTTTGGGGCAGTGCGTTCACTTTTTTTTGTGGGAACATTGGCTTTTTTTTAATAAATTGTTACAAGGAACACAACGATATGTATATTTTTTTTAAATTGGCTTGTACAAGCGAACATTGATATGCCTAATGGCGATCTGGCTTCAAATGAGAGAAAAATCAGGAATCAGTGAAAAAATGATTAAATGTCAGTTTCATCGAATTCTGTTTAACAATTCAACAAAATACCTTGAGAAGGAGTTGGTCGGAGGTGCAGTCAATATATAATAACATATATAGTATATATTTTATAATATATGTTATATATTATGTATTAACTGCACCCTCGACCAACTCCTTCTCAAGTTATAATTACAGTCAACCATCTCCATATCATTAAAGGAAATAATATATATATATATAATTTAAGTTTGTTGTTATATTTATGCAAGACACATATTAATTTTTAATTAATAAATAAGAATCTTCTGATTTATTAAGATTGTATTAAATAAATGAATTAAAGTCAAAGTGGCGTACCTGGCTGGGTGGGTTAGTTAGAAACAAAAAATGTTGATAGACTGTTTAGATATCATAGCAAATGTAGCAGTCTAGAGATCCTACATTACTATATCTATCATCTATTTCTTAAAGACTGTGAATAGATTTTTTTGATTTTTTTAAAAATTATTTCGATTAGAGAACATTTAATGGTGCAAATGCGTTTATCTGGTACTCCAATGCAAAAGACTGAAGTGCCATTTCAATTAGAAAACCATCAATTTTTCTAATCTATTTTATCAATGAAAATAAGACACTCAAGATAATTAACAAATCGGTATAAAAACCGAGACAGCTTGGTCTAAGGCAAGCAATCATGCGACTACACATGTTATGTAAGTACATAGACCTATATTTGCGTGGTGCTATAGCAGATGTTGACATGCCATTTTTATGCTTTTCACGATAAAATATTATTTTTTAAAACATTTGTTTAAAATAGTATAATCAAGTTATTAAATCTACATTATTTAATCTTCAATATTATTGCATTCATAACAATATAGGATTTAAAAAAAAAAAGTAATTATTTGTTATAGTAACAAAAATGGAGCGTCAACTTCCGCCAAAGCTTCACATATACATTTATTTTCACAATCTGAATTGGAGGTTTTTGTTTTCTGAAACTCATTTTTTTCATCTTATCTCATTTTATTTCATTCACATTTCATTAAAAGAAAGATATTCAGAAGTAAAAAGGCAGCTTAAACATTTTTAAGAAACTCTGAACCCTGTATAGAATAATTTATAGTTAAAAATGGAAGCATACAATTGCAAAACTAGCAACTTTCATTTAGTTTGTCTTAATTGTAGGTATATATATATATATTAGTTAGTTATATATAGCTATATATAGTTATATATATATAGCTAGTTTTGCAATTGTATGCTATCCATAAGGTGTTTCGGTGTTGCATTTCATGAGCTATTTTTTTTTCCTTTCATTAACTAATTTTATACCAGGTTCCAATGTGAAATGGTTAATTTTATAAAATTACAAAAAATTAAAGGTGGTTTAGAAAAAGAAATTTTGAAAATCGGCCATTTAAGACCTGTTAGAGAACATAAAAGAGAATAAAACCTCCATTATATTAAAAATTGCTTAATTTTACTATAATATGATGAATTCAATTAAAATTGTTAGAGCCATTTTCCAGAAAATTGTAAAAATGCTTTAAATCGATGATATGATATAATAGATGATAAGGGTCAGTTATAGTAAGTCGTTTTTTACGAAAACGTTTCTCTAATATCCCAGGCATACATAAACCTTAAATATGCAATTTAATTTTCGAACACATTTTTGTTTTTGACCTAGACACGTGCGTCATTTTGCAATACTTGGTTATTCGGACTTCAAAACGTGTATTTCCGTTGCATACTCGGCTTCGAAAATTTTCATGATTGTAATACTTCCCCTTATAGATTTCATATATAAGTAAGTGAAAGTAAAAAATAAAGAATGGAGTTTGCTGGGTTTTTTATTCTGCTCCTCAATCCTGCAAATAGATTATTTTTACAAGCTTTGTTATAAATTTCCAGTAATTGCAAATAAACTATTTTAGGAACGTCTATTTATTTACATTTATTTGTGCTATTAGCTCATTCGTATGATTATTTTTATTTATTCATTTATTTTCAAATATCCATTAATAATAAGTGATATTTTATTCTTCAGAATATTTGTTTACCTTAAATATATATATCAAGTTTTGTTGAATAATAATACAGTTCGTCACATTGAAGGCCAAAGTTTAAAGCTATAGTAACCATTCATAGAAAGAAGAATAAATATAAATAATTGAAAATTGGAAAAAAGATGATAAGTAAGAGAAATGAGATATATAAAAATAATGATAGGATAAAAGCATAGGTACTTAAAAATAAAATGATACAGATAAATAAATTACAATAGTAAAATAAATAGGCTACAGAGTGTTGAAAAATGTTGAATACAAATAAAATAAATCGTAAACATATTGCTATAACTTAATAATTCGAATTATTTAAATACCCAAATTTAACAATTAAGTATCGAAGAATCAATCAAGTTTTTGAGATGAAAAAGTACTTTCGTACCCTTAAAATTTAATGTTGTTACAATTGTTATGTTATTTCTCACAATAGCAGAATCTTAAAGATATCCAAAATAAAATAAATTACGAACAATAAAGCCTACTATTAGCGAAAAATTTAACTGTATGTCATATTGTTTATGGCAAGTTTCTTAAATTATTTTTAATTTTTTGTTAGGTAGTTGACATTAAATAGGTTACGTAAAAAATCATTGCGTCAGAAAATACACCAATCGGTAAACGTAACTTTTATATAATTTTAAACGTCAAATCATTATAACATTCAGCAAACCATTTGCAATTAAAACATTTAGAAAATATATTATTTATTTTAATATAACTTGTTTTTTATGATTTTACAGTAATAGCTGCCCTGGCCATCCTCTGGCCAGCGATAGCTCTTGCCTTTCCATCTGAAGAATTAGACGTCCTGAGACAGGACAAGAATCTACAGGCTATCCTTGGCGAAATAGAAATTCTAAGTTCTGAAGAAGATGACGAAGAACATGAGTTCCCAGGCTTAGATGACGAGGAAGAGTCAGAAGAGGATTATTTCCGTCCACGTCCTCATCCTCATCCTCGCCCAACAGAAGAACCCGAACCTAAACCAAAACCACATCCCCATCCGAGACCTCACCCAAAACCAACTGATGAACCTGAACCAAGGCCCCATCCACATCCTCATCCAAGACCCCACCCACACCCTCACCCAAAACCAACTGATGAACCTGAACCAAGGCCCCATCCACATCCTCATCCAAGACCCCACCCACACCCTCACCCAAAACCAACTGATGAACCTGAACCAAGGCCCCATCCACATCCTCATCCAAGACCCCACCCACACCCTCACCCAAAACCAACTGATGAACCGGAACCAAGGCCCCATCCACATCCTCATCCAAGACCCCACCCACACCCTCACCCAAAACCAACTGATGAACCTGAACCAAGGCCCCATCCACATCCTCATCCAAGACCCCACCCACACCCTCACCCAAAACCAACTGATGAACCTGAACCAAGGCCCCATCCACATCCTCATCCAAGACCCCACCCACGCCCTCACCCAAAACCAACTGATGAACCTGAACCAAGGCCCCATCCACATCCTCATCCAAGACCCCACCCACACCCACACCCAAGACCCCACCCCCGACCTCACCCATCCACCACAGAACATCCAGAAATAGAAGAGTTTGACTACTGATTTCCAGGCCAGCAGGAAATACAACTTAGGATACAAAAAAGAAGATATATGCAATGAAAACCAAACTTGTATTTGTAACTAAAATAACATATCGACAAAGCTGTTTAATCTGGAATATCTAAAATAAAGTATTTATATTTTATTTATTTGCCATTGTATGTCCATTCAAAGCTAACATATAAATAATGGGAGTAAAACACTAGAAAAAGCCTAGTCTTTTGTAGATTTTTTTTCTTTTTTTTTGGAACCATATTAGTATGTAAGTACTTTCAACATGAATAACAAAGCTTGTTAACTTTTTGAAATGAATATCCAAAATAAAGCTGCAAAAAATATGTATATGTAAGAAAAATCAGATCTTCGAGTGTTTTGTTAATGTCATTGTGGTTAAATTAACATGAATTAGAATTTTGAAATGGCTTGGAATGTTAATTCTTGTCATTGGTTAATCACGAAATGAGTTTACCTTACACAGGTAAATGCTTGGCTGTAAGGGCAGGCGGGCAGGTGTGGCATGGATGCTGCGGCTGCCTTAGGTACCGCATGGCGGCCGCAAGAATGCCATTATCTCGCGGCTCTCTGCCAATCAATTATAACCTCACCACATGGCCATTGTGTCGGCTACAATGTCCAATCTACAATCAACATAATATCAACCGACCTGTAGAAGACAACATTCAACATAACTTATCAAACAATTTAATAAAACCACATTATAATAGCAAAAAAAACCACGAACAGATTAAAAAAACATCCTTACAAAATTAAATTATATACTTATTGCTATTAAATAATAACTCAGCGAAAAAGGAGTTTATTTATTTTTACTGCGTTATATGTGTAGTAAATAAGTGTATAATGGATAATTATCCTCAATAATTAACACGTGGAATCCCAATAAATACGTTTTAAGAACTATAGCATTATTAAATGCCATACATTGTTCGGAGTTACCATTCAGTATTCTAATGTGTAAACCATTAAATTATTATTGCTTTGTCTGGAAATACGTATTTGTTTTTTTTAAATAAAACAAAAATTGATACGAAACTATTTTTGCTTTCACTTACCTATTCATGAAAAATAAAGTAAGGGACAGTATTGCGAACGTGAAAATTTTCGAATCCGAGTTTTCAACTCAAATACATATTTTGAGGTCTCCTGGTCCCAAATAATCAAGCCCCAAAATGATCTGTGTGTGTGTGTCTATGTATGTGCCAGCTCCAGCCCGAAAACGAAAAGTCGAATGAAAGTGAAATTGCATATTTAAGGTTTTTATATACCTGAAATGTTACAGTAAATTTTTTGTCAAAAACGGCTTACCGGAAGTGGCACTTCATATCATTGATGAAATACATTACCATTTGATCGAACACGGCTCCAACGTGTTGTTAACTTTTCCGTTCCCGCGTAATAGAATGTTAAATCGTTATTATAAAAAAATATGGAAATGCATTTTCTAATGAAGTTAAAAAAAAAAAAATATATAAATATATATATATATATATATATATATATATATATATATATATATATATATATATATATATATATATATATATATATTGAAATTTACAGCTGTATTGCATAACAAATATATCAAGTAAATCTGAAAACAGTGACATGACATGCACAACAGGAAGAGAACCTACCCATTGGTATCACTCCAATTATAGTTCTATATTTGAAGGTCCCGAGGCCATCTTCTTTTCAGACGCCTCGGAGGGTTATCAGGAATAGAAGAGGAAGCAACGTTAGAAACAGGATTGTTCTGATGGTTCAGAAGTTTATTATGGAAGGACATGTATCTGGATTGTGTTAAATCGGAAACTGGTACATTAAGGTCGTTATGGATGATTTTATTTGTTACAATGTAAGGTGCATTGAGCATTATACGAAGGAATTTGGATTGTAATGATTGAATAACAGAAGGATTCCATGGTTTAGTAGAGCTCCAAAGCTCGATTCCTTAAGTCCAAATAGTCCTTATTATAGTCATATATATGAGTCTTTTGTAGATAATTGGAAGTCTAGTAAGCGCTATAGTAGTCGGAAACGTCGAGTAGTTTCTATTCGTCTCAGACTGGTATGAGGATTCCAAATGAGTCGTTTGTCAGGTGGAGTCCTAGGTAACGAATTTGTTCAATAGGAATAAGTGGGAGATTGTTAAAGGATACTATAGTACAGAAAGTCATAGGTTTAAGACGAAGAGTAAAGGTAATTTGACGGGATTTATTAGAATTTATTTTAATCCTCCAGTTTTGACACCATTCTTCAAGACTTGTGATACTAATGAAGAATTTTCGCTAAAATCGAATAATAGTAAGTGGCGCTTAACAACATCATCGGATTTATCAATTTTTACAATACTTTAAAAACTCCTATACAAATTAAAAATTATTATTTAAATGAGATTGATGAAAATGCTTTTTGTAGCTTTCTGCATTTTTGTTTTATTTTTTTTATTTTTCTCAAGTAACTACAGTTGAACCTATGACGTCACTTTCCATTCGCTTCGCAAACGAAATAGGAAGAATAAGTTTTTTTCCCCTCACTCTGAATATTCACAGGCACGTTTCCTTTCCGAGAAAATATTTTACTTTACTTACGATAACAGGAAAAAATACATTCCGATTGTCCCATGGTCAATAGTAATCGTGTGAGGTACACTTTTTTTTTTCTTTTCTTTGTTAATTAATTTTAACAAGAATGTAACGAGACAATTTATCCTAATCGAGTTCCAGAACTTCGTTAAAGCAACCGTTTGAACAAACATTGGACGAAACGGTTTTACATTTTTCTTCGATTCTATTGAAGCTGCTTTATTGGACACTAGTAAAATATAGGAGAAAATGAATGTGTTAAACACAACAGTATCACTTCCGACACTTTTATCGATCAGAACTAAATAATACAAGAGATCTCTGATTCAACTTCATTTCAATATTTTATTTTTTAACAGCGGTTTGATAAAATACGTTAACTTTTTTTCCAACTGTTTTCGAATATTTTATTTACAGTAATTATTTGTTTTCTAATTATTAATGAATAATTGAAGTTATTTATTAAGTAATTTAAAAAAATAAGAACGTGAGTAGCAGAATTCATAGCTGAGGTCGTAATTTTCCTTATTTTTTTCATTCAAAAGAGTTGGAAATTGATTCGTTTCTGCTTACTAAAGGAAATTGAAATAAGAATTTTAAATTGGATTGAACTCCTATAATTTTCTCATATTTTATTTTTGAACAGTTTATATATTTTTCCGGATTTTAACTATCCAAATGGTGGTTGAAAGAAATAAGTTCAGATTAACATAAAGCTTCCCTGACACCGACTTAATTGACATACTACTTTTCAATCATTTAATATTATTTGGATGGGTTATAAAAGGGCGAAAAACCTTATAAACCTCGAAGAACAGTAAAGAAAAGAAAAAGTCGATTTCCCCAAAATTGCCGAGGTTGTAATATAAAGGGTAACCCTTTCTTTAGCGATTTTTCATGATTTTTTTTTCAGTTTTGATTATTATTTCTCTTACTTGACTAATGGAAATGTGATTATAATGATGCGGAACAGCTAGAACGGAGAACTACAATCTGGGCTGGAGTTGGCTAGAGATAGGAGAGCATATTGGATGGGCTTTGGGGCAAAAACTGGCCAGAGGTTGTTGTGTGGCCGACCAAGGAAAAACTACGGCTGAAGAAAATGGCCTTCAGAAGGGACTCGCTCTCTCCCTTTCTCGCTTTTTCTTTTCTCTTATAGCTATAACACGTGAAAAGTTTATCTCGGAAAAACAGGAATTTTCAGGATCTCGTCAGGGAGTTAGAGGAAAATGAATTTTGTTTATACGCTCTCTTTCTACCCTACCGTCTTTCTTCCGAAGGAAGTCGCTTTTGCAAACATGAGAAACATATCTTTTTCTGATCCATATTTTCCTTCTTTGTTTTTATTCTGAAGAATGTCAATTTTTAGTTTATTTATTATTTTAATATTTTCAATTATTTTTTTAAAGTTTTATATTATTGAATAATATAACAAACTATAAATAATAATATAGTATAGGAGTTTTTCGTCCAGGAATTTCCTAGCCAAGCTTTGTCTTCTACATATGGAAGGCAAAGCAAGACTCCAGGTGATCTCAGTGCATCTCTTTCAGCCGCGGCACTACTTTGGAAGTAGTGGAGACTGAAAAAGACCGGATAATTTTCAATTATATTTGATCTATGAATAAGGTGTCATTTGATTTTAATACAAATACATTTGTTTTGATATTTTTTCTTCTTTTTTTTTCTCCGAAACATTTTTGGGTATGATCAACAAAACTGTCTGCTGAGGAAATTTCGGGAAAACACATGCAAGAAAAAAATATAAATCTATTGAAACTACAATTAGTCCTCTAATGTTATATATATATTTTTATTATATAATATTTCATATTATTACATTTTTTATTATTTATATTTCATTCCAGTTTTTTGTAAATATTGTACGAATGAACTCTTATAGGCCCAATACTGGTTGCCCTTCATGAGGCAGATTGTATTATCATTCATAATCCATTAAAAAAAATATATCTTGGCTTGATAGGGAAAATAAATATTGTCTGATATTTAATCTATTTGTAAAAGATAACCTCTTCACTTCTTAGCCGAATGTTCAGTTCTTATTCTTAGTAAAGTTCTTATCGAGTTTCTAGGTGCAAGATCTGTCAGAAAATCGTTTTTGATTTTGATTTATTTTCTTAATGCCCCTCTGTAAATAAATATCGTGAGCTTGTTGCTAAGTTCTTATTGCTGCTAAATAATAAAATAGCATGGGGAAATAAAATATGAAATTATATGAATAAATCATAAAGAAATAACAGCTTGTTATGACCTGTAAAAACATTCAATGTTTACATAAGACCTTTTGCTACATAACAGTAATAATAATAATAATAAAAGGTTTAGCGAACCCGAAGGTTCGATGCCGACACCACCAATGGCTTATTACACACCTCCCTCCACCCTTCGCCGTCCAAACCCATTCCCTTCGGATATCCTGGACGTAGCGTAAGCTTTCGACCGGGTGTGGCATGATAGCTTGCTTTTCAAGCTCAAAATTCACTTACCCCAATACTTGTACCTAGTCCTCAAATCCTAGTCCTCAAATCGTTCCTTTCAAGTCCGCTGCAGCACTGAATTCTCTAACTATTATCAAATTGAGGCTGGTGTTCCACAAGGCAGTGTCTTGGGCCCAGTCCTCTTCATCCTCTTCACCGCTGACATTCCAACCAATCTCGATACCCTTCTAGCAACCTTCGCGGACGAAACCGCCATCCTGTAATCCCACCTAGATCCTGAAACTGCATCCTTAAATCTACAAAGATACATCTCCCTAATTGAGCAATGGTGCAACAATGGGCGCATTGAGATCAATGAATCCAAATGCAAGCATGTCACCTTTACCCTCCGACGCAGATCCTGTCCACATATCCTTTTCAACTCTGTACCTCTCCCCGTCTCAGACACAGTTCGGTACCTTGGATTCCTTTTAGACAAAAGACTAACTTGGAACCCACATACTAGACTTAAAAGACAAGAGCTTAACCTACGATTTGACCAGCTATACAGACTACTTAACAGAAAATCCAATCTATCAATAGAAAACAAACTATTAATATACAAGACCATACTCAAACCCATCTGGACCTACGGACTTGAACTGTGGGGGTCAACTAAATTTTCGAACATCAAACGCATCCAATCCTTTTAGTCTAAAGTCCTCCGTATAATAGTCAATGCTCCTTATTACGTTACAAACAAAACCCTTCATCATGACCTTTACATCCCTTATATCCTTGACGTTATTCCATCCCGATTCTCAAATTTTCACATGAATCTAATCCACCATCCTAACCCTTTAGCACAATCCTTATCTAGCTCCAGTCATCCCTACAACCCTCCTCGAAGGTTGAAACGGCAGTGGCCTCGAGATATCTTGTAAAGACGTCACTGGAATTCTGGCAATGGCCAGCTTCTCCACTCAAGTCATGAGTGTTTGTGGTTTTAGTGCCCTCTCTCAGTCTCCACCGGACTGGTAATGT